TTACCACTGGCTATCGTGCAGGTCACGGGTTCAACTCCAGGGAACTGTGCAGATACTGTACACAGGTAAGCTGAGGTCAAAGGATCGACCCCTGGGATCTGCATCGGCTACTGCCAAAGGTGAAAACTGTTTCACTTACTTCTTATCTTATCTTTCATTCTTCGCTTTTTCCTACTCTTTATGGTAATGCCTACTCTTATAGGTTTAGGGTTTGGAAACTGGCTTGTTCCTATTCATGGTCGCTGCAACCGAAGGGCCCAGGACACATTCCAGAGGGTCCCTGGTGTCCCTGGGCGGTGCTACTGGGGAAGTGGCCGAGCAGCCTGGATGCTGCCTCGGCCTGGCAGGATCTGCTCAAACGAGAGTGAAGGGCCTACTCACTCACATTCTTGCGTTGGGCTGCCAGCATGTGCGCTGCTGCGCTGCTGGCTCGTGTGCACGCGCGCTGAAGCACAGCCTGGGCAAGAGGAAAGCGCTGGCGGGGGCGCGCGGCATAGCTGCTGGACACAGCTTGGGCTATGCAGCGAACATAGCCGGGCCACTGCCCGTATTGTGTCAGAGAGGGATGAGCGGGGGTCCTCGGGAGAGGGCGTAGTGTGGGTGAGAAGGGATTGAGTGACGAAGAGTGAGACAGGGAGATGGAACGTACCAGGTGACGGTGGGCATGGTCGGTGAAGCCGAAGTCTCCATTTGTCATCTGGCAGCTGTACTTCATGAAGACCTGTTGACGTCATAGGTTGATAGGCTAGTGCCGAGGTGCTGTCTGATCGTAGTCTGGGTGCCAGGCGCCAAATTAGAAAAGGGTCATTGGGTACAATGATGGTGGAGGCGGGTCGAGGGCTGACATTGTCATTTGAGTTCATTGCTTTGCTCTTATCTTATGTATGACTTGGTGCATTCTGCTTTCTGTTCGAGCACATGGCTTTCTGGCTTTCAATGAGATGATGCCATTTGATTTCCGTACTTCGGATGGCTCATTTTCGTTGCAGCAGTAACGGAAAAATAGTAAAATACTTTAAATAAATATTAAATATATATACGATCATAGCCATCAAACCCACAGGTCAGTACATGCACGCATCAACATTCCTACCTGCGGCATTTGCCAGGACCCTGGTAGATCAATCCGAGTTGCAATGAAAACCTGGCCAGCAGCAGAACATGCAGATTACCAGACACAAAATGCACACGTAAGAGGTTGTGATGGGGCAAAACACTCACTCACACTTGTATTTCCTGAATGATTCCAGCCTCGATTACCATCAGATTCAGGCGAGACGTGAGTATATCCTCTGAATAGTCCTGATAATTAACTAAGTCAACAAAGTGCATCGCCTAGCCAAATCCACAGAACAGAAAACATTATACTTGTATTTTCTTAACCTTTCTCGCATCTGCCAGAAGTGAAACAAGACCTGCATGATGTTTACAAATTTACACCTTGACCTTCATCCTAAGTTACGCTAGCAAGCCCTGTAGGGCCCTCCCTCGCAAATTTCTCCAAGATAAAACCCGGCCAAACCGCTGCCCTCGGAGAGGAACCAAGACATAGCCATCTTGTTTTTGTTTGTGCCAAAACAAGGACCATTTGCCGTTGAAGAAACAATTACAAGGAATTTCTTTCATATGTCAGGGACTGGTAAGGTTTTGCGCGTTGTATCGAATTTAAGCACATGCTCCTGCAATGACTTGCTGATTTCTGCTGCCGAGACTAACTGCGAGGCTGTACACTACCGGTAGGTTAGTTTTGGTAATTTTGTTTGGCTGAGGGCTAACCGAGAGACCAGCCTGTGAGGAATTCGTGAGGGACAGATCTGTAAATCCGGGGAAAATACAGACCCGGTACTAACCCGAATTCCTACAGCTACCCTAACTGTCTAGTGCAGGCCCGGGCTACCCCTAGGACAGACAGGCCCTAAGTGGCCTATTCTGCTAGACGGTCCTATAGCCTATAGCCGGGTCCGGTAGAGGCCGAGAGGCCGAAACAGCAACGGTACCGGTCGGTCAGTCAGTCCGGTCTAAGTCTAGGTTAGGCTAGTGAGTCTATAGGTAGGGGAGGCACACCGATTCAGGACTTTTGGCTTTTCATTTTCGGATCGCAGGGTTCGTGGCCAACCGAGTTCTGCAGCGCTGAAGATCTGAGCGGTACCCAGGATCTCAGCTTGGTGGTGACAGCCATAGCCGGCCCCTGAGAGTCTGCCAGAGCTGGGGCACTCTCAACGCATCTACCCCTGGGGGTATCTGCGTGCGGCAGGGCTATCTGAGGCTCTTCAGAGTGTATAGGTGGATGCTGTTGCTGGCGCCCTACATCGCAGGGCTTCTGTAGCAGCTCGGCAGCCATAGCTGCCTTCTTCTTCATCAGAGTGACTCATCGGCACTGAGGACTACATCGCAGTTCATGATCTGCATCTTGGTGGTTGGCGCTGGCCTCAGGGAGGCTGTTTCAGTGTAGCGCTTGTCCCTGAGAGTGGGATAGTGGGTGTGGTGTGTGATACTGAGGTGGCGAGACACTGGGTTAAACTCTGTAACGATAATTGGGTTAATTGTGTTGAGTTGGCTCATCATCTGTGTTATATTCCGACTGTGGTCTTCGCAGTGTCATCTTGTGATTGGTTGTTGGGAGTTTGTCAGAGAGAGAGAAACACTGTGTGTATTCTCCCCATCTGTGCATGATTGTTATTCCGCTGCTTATCTCTGGTCTGTGTGCAGTTTGGACTCTGTCTCTCCTCCCCTTTGTCTTGTGCATGTATGGGCGTGTGTGAGATACTTTGTGTGTGAGTGGCGAGAAAATTGTCAGACAACCAAGTTCATAACACTCCACCGCTTGTGCAGGCCCCCGTCAATTACTTTGAGTTTAAGCCTTGCGACTGGACTCCCCAGGCGGAGTGTTTAACGCATGAGCTAGGTCCCTCATCGAATTGCCCACCAAAACCACCGGGCGTTCTTCTTTTCGCTGGGGGAAGAGGGAGGGTTCTGAGGGGGGAAGATAAACATAGCCTTGTGGGTAAGGATCCTTCGATTCCGGGGAATAGAGCCTGGAGTCTGGACTCCTTTCCACAGCCAAGTCAGATCACATGTTACACACCATAATAAAGGTTAGCCATATCCGTCTTCACTACGCACACAAAGTGAAGAAGACAGGGATGGAGTAGGGAGAGCCACAAGGAGATCAAGTTATTTTCAGACAGCAGCAAAACAACCAGACTGGCGACAGCCACACTTACATGTGATTGTCCGCAAGGGCGTCACCTGGCACCCTAACCAAGCCATCATCATCTCGAAATGAACGAAGCACAGCGCACTTAGCAGCTCTATCTGTTGAAATACAGACCCAGGTTCGAATCCAGATACAATCAAATGACCTATGCATTCACATCTGATTACATGTGCATACCTATGCACTCACATCCATGTTCTACATGAAATTTCTTGCAATACCCAACGGGCCTAGCTCAGTTGGTGCACCCATAAACTGTTCAATTACAGACCCGAGTTCGAATCCAGATACAATCAGATGACCATAATAAAAAAAATCATTCTGAATTACCTGTGGCCGGTCAGTTCAACCATAACGATATCGCAAGGCCATTTGCCCTTAGGGGCAAAAAAAAAAAAAAAAAAAACTTGAGATCAGGTTTCTGGACGTAGTGTTTTTCTTCCATGTTCTGAATGCAGTGCGTGTCCTCAGTGTTCGAGATGCAGAGCTTGCCTTCAGTGTTCTCGACACAGTGTTTGTCTGGGACTTGTTCAGATTCTCCCTTTTTTTCTGAAGGAGGGGGCAAGCAGCCACGCCGAGAGACCCTAGCGTCTCTGCACACTGAGAAACTACACAACTCCTCACCTCCTCTGCAGCATCATTTGTCATTCCGGGTCACCAAAGGTCGTTTGCGGCAAAGAAGGGCGAAAGACTCCGCGTGTGCATTCTTTTGACTACAGAGGACTGAATGTGGAATCGCTGGTGCAGATCAACAACTTGCTGGACGGAGTGCAGAGATGCGAGGACAACGATTTCGGCAAAATGGACATTTTATTTTTTTAACAAAATTAAAACCGACTAAATTGGCCCGATTGAGGTCGATTTTTTTTGCTTTCGAGGGTACGGCATTCTTAAAACGCCGTACCCCCTGGACGCCAGCGACGTCCAGATACATCCAGGGGGTACAGCGGTCTTAAAACGCCGTACCCCCTGGACTCCAGCGAAGTACAGATACATCGGGTAGGGCATTTTAAGAACGCTGTACCCGCAGAAGCTAAAACTTTCAACCTCAATCGGGTGAATTTACTCAGTTTCAATTTCATTAAAAAAAATAAAAAAATGTCCATTTTGATGAAATCGCTCTTCAAGATGCTTTGAATTGCTTTCCAAGATCTATCTGGAGAGTGGGTATCACCAGGTTGAGATGGAGACAGCAGATAAGCACAAAACCTAGGCTACCAGCCGGGCCGTCCCCGTCACCTTGTTTGCCTGGGCGGCCCAGCCGTGCAAGGACCATAGAAGGTCCCTGTAACAGAAAAAGAAAAAAAAAAAAAAAAACACTGAAAAAAAATTGTTATGCAGAAAAATGAACTGAACAAGATTTTTTTTTTTTTTTTATATAATGGGCCCAGTGCCCAAGGCTGAATGACACAATCTGCCAGAAACCGGGCCCGGCATCCCTTACAAAGGAGAAAAAAAGGGGACAGCCCCTGCCGGAATGATCAAGGCATGCCTCAGGGTCACATCGAAATTCTTCACCAAATTTGAAATAAAAAATAAATTCGGAAAAAACTTTTTTTTTTTTTGCCAATCGGACGTCCGGATCCCGATCCGGACAGTCCGGGTCTGGATGTCCAGGTCCGTGTCCGGTGTTGCATACCGTATAGGTGCAGACCAGAACAAGAACCGACCTCTCAATACAAAGTATAAGATAGCACAGCGGAAGAGACTTAGATACCAATGATCCGAACAATCAATATTGTAATGCAGCCCCGAACATACATCATCATCATCATGGTGTGAAGGGGTCTGCCGCTTCACACAAGAAGACTGCGCCAGCCCCAACCATACACAGACGAAGGAGGTGGGGTTAGACGAAGAAGAASGGAAGATGGGAATGTCGTCAACACCAAGTGTTCAGCACAGGCCCAAATAGTCCCTCGTCAAAATGTCTGAATCCCAATGTCGAGTCTGGATCCAATGTCGTCAAGTCTCATGTCACAACTCTCTCTCTGTAGTAGTCCGCTGATACTGAGAAGCAGGTGGTGAGAGGGGAAGGAGAGATGGTGGACTGAGAAGAAGAGGAAGAAGAACTCTCTTTCTCTCTCTCTCCAGTACTAACCTGTGAAGTTGGCGCCTTGATGCAGGTACCTCGAAGATGGAGCTGGAGCGATGGCGCCACAGGTACGTACCACTGGCCTCCGCCAGTGTCTCTCCCCACTCTACTACCTACCACCTACAGCGCCCAGCACTGAAGACTACTGCTATGGCTATGGCGCCCAGCGCCGAAGACTACAGCTAGCGCTGCTACTACTGCCTAGCGCTGAAGACTACTGCAGCGCTCCTCCTGAGTGCTGCGGCCGAAGTCTGA